CAGCCTACAAGATAGTGATGTATCAACAATAGCGTGGATTGGAAACTAGGCCTTTCCAACCACCAAGATATCGAGACTAGGCGGATCGGAAACACGGCCTTTCCGACTACGTAGACCCTTAGATAATAAACAATAAACGAGCGGATTGGAAACTAGGCCTTTCCAACCGTCAACCGTCACGAAAGGGCGACTGGGTGGATCGGAAACTCGGCCTTTCTGACCACCCAGGAGATATCAATAAATGGAGTTACCCAAAAAGAATAGCGCGGATTGGAAACTCGGCCTTTCCAACCGTCTACATAACTTCCAGGAAATTGCAATATTATATATATATATTATATTGACATAAAATAATTGCAGTGATAAAGATATAATGTTATTTAAAAATTTCTGTAGAGCATTTTGTATTTTGTATTTAATATTTAATATTTACATTTTAAATCTAAAATCTAATTATAAGAATGTTAAATCTTTGTTGCAATATAAGTCTAACAGACTGTAAAAAAATAAATAAATAAATAAATAAATACTCCGACCATGTGGCGTTGATCTTTGCCCAACTCAATATCGTCGTCAAACATAAGCAGTGTCGTAGCGTATTAAGCAGAGGTCACACTCTGTATCAACTAAAGCAGAGAATGTCGTATGGCCACGCGTCACGTCCTCGAAGATGCACCTACCAGCTTTGCCTAGCCTACCCCATAGCTCATCCCCTAGCGTATTGGCGTGGTGACTCTCCATGTTGATTGTTGGCGACTGGACCCTACCATCTTATACACGCGAATCTACTCCTTGAGTTCTGCTGTGGACTTCGCTTGATATAAATTAACTTTATTTAGCCTGGAGCCGGGGATACCTTCGATAAAATACTCGATAAGGCTCATGTCGTCTAGCCTTATCGGTTTCCCGATCTCCATTAAGGAATATTAATATTATCTCAAGATCTTCATTACAGCGTTTCCGGCGATTCCTTAACGTACGATGCACTTCTATCGAGGATACTTTGGTCCCAAACTCGGACCTAAGTGCTTGCATCACCGACTTCCAATCCGTGACATCACGCTGACTACGTATAAAAACTCTGGCAGCCCCTTTCATTAGCTGCTTCGCGTATATAAATTTCTGGAGCTCGTTCCAGTGAACTGCGATGGCATTTTGCTGAAAATCTTCAAGCCATTCCTCAATTTGCGGCGAACCCGACCCACTAAATGACGTCAACGAGTCTTCTATATCGCGTAATGTAAAAGGAGTACGGCTGTGTAAGCTGCTAGGTACTGCCCTTGATGGAGACGAGCCAGCGTTATCTTATACCGAAGCCGCATCACCGTCAGTGCTCGCGCCATCATCCTCGCTGTCAGCGTTCAGACCGAAATGTTCTGGGAGTCGGTCCTGTAAGGTAACTTTCCGTCCTGTAGTGGCCAGTCCTAACTCTACCAATTTCTGTTTCAGTCCGGCTACGTTCAGTTCTAAAACTTTTTGTCTCTCCATTGTCAAAATAAAATGCTTTACAAAATTAGTTAGATTTTCCGATAAAATATTGTGCCGCCGATATACCTGTACCGTATGATACTTCTAAATATTGGGTTTACAAATTTTATATTTTGTTATTAAATGTTTTTTTTTCAAAATCTCAAAATACACAGCTAAACCGATACGGAATATACCGCACCGTCGACAATATAAAAATTTACATATGCTCTTTTGTTTAAAATTTTCGCAATTTTGCGTTGTGTTGGTAATCCCAAAATATGAAAAAAGAATTGTTTTACACTAACATACAAGGTACATTTGATTAATTGATTTAGTGATCAATACAATGAATACATATATGAAATATAAAAGCGTCTACTAACTAAACAATTTCAAATTAATTTTACTTAGCTTCGCTCCACTGTGCTGCTAGCCTGTATGAAAGGCGTTGATTTGTTCGACCTCTGCTCCTCTTCCAACCTCCAACTGCAACCTCCACTTCAGCCGTTCGAGAAGACACCAACTTCCTGCTTTTCCAGCCACTACTTGGCTACTACATCGACCCAACACCCAATGCAGGTTCACNTAATTTCTGTCAGTCAATTTCTATTAAAAATTAAAAAAAAATATATATATAATTTTTAACTTATAGTTCAATTATGTATCGGTTACTGACAAATTTAAACTGAATAGAGCGGTTAAATTGCTTTCGTGAAATTGGCTGTTAGTATTCTGCATTTACGCCAAGACAGTTACAACAAAAACCTTTTTACTANGTTCAACTCAGTCGAACTCTTCTGTTTTCATACAGCTTCGAATATTTCGCCGCTTTGTTTGCGCAGCTATAGCGCTGTTCAGCTCTCTTGTCGTCTCTGCCAACGAAGTATCGACTTGGCGTTATTGCGCCTGTGCCGGCTTATATACTTATGTATATATATGCGGGACTTAGCTACCGTTACCGCTGCCTTGCCTCTGGCGAGTGGGTTTTTGAGCTTTATAACTTTATTTAATTAACTTTAATAAATACACAGTGGACTTCCTAAATATAGTAAGTACTACGTGGAACGGTAGGCAGGCAGGCACTCGCGGCGACGGTCGACAATGAACTCATTACACATTTTTTTTATTTTTTTTTTGCGTTGATTTGATTCAAGCCGGTTTTGAGAGGCATTTTTTAAGCTACATTTGTCTGTACGTGTGTGCAGAAACAGAATATTAGGGTAGTTCCAACTAGTTTTTTTTTTGGCGAATAAGAAAAAATAAAATAAAAAAATAATAAATAAAAGGAAACCTAATCATAAATGAATAGTATTAAGGCTAATTTGTTATTGAAATATAAGATTAATATGCAGGAGTCTTTTTAGTTAATATTCCAGGCCTTTTATTAGATTAAATATCTATAGCGTATAGAGTTTGAAGTGAATAACCTGAATTTAGTTTTTAGTACACATATAACTACTTTTACTCCGCTAAGGCGGATATTCAAAACCGTGTGAGATTAAGGCGAAGTTTTTATTTGAATTTTTGTTTGATAAAGAACAAACGTAGTGTTAAAGTTAGGTTAATCGACTCACTGAATTGTAGATTTAAAAATTGTATAATAGAGGGGAAAAAATAGTGAAAATAATGTCTTATACTTATGCAGTTATTTGAGGTAATGCACATAGGCATTATAATGGAATGCTTAACGTCTTAAGTTGGTGTGGGTCTTACAATTAGGTAGAAGAGGGGGCAAGTGGGTGTTGACGATAGACTAGACGGGTAGTTGACGTATGGACTAGTGACCGACGGACTTTGTCAGGCTTAGGGGGTGTTGTTAGGTAGCGGCAGTCGCAGCAATACCCATGGCTACGCGTATGTTGCACGTAGAAGGGGAGGGACGACTCCACCTGACAGGACGGGACTTTATGCTGTGTATTTTTCCTTCATCTCCTGTGCTTCGACTTTTTTTTCTTTTACTACAGTAATCAGGCATGATTGTAAAATTTTGTTGATGTGGGTGTAGGTAAGGCAGCTGGTAAAGACCACACATCCGACGAGCTAGACCGGGTTCGCCACCATGCCTGTGCGCCACCTTGCTTTCACCGGAAGTCTCACCCATGTAAAATGTTATGTCTTTTTATTCCAGAAACAATATTGTAGGTTCGGATTATGCTTTAGAAATACCCAGCTTTTTGGCCACAGATATCTGGTAACCGTATATATAACATATGTACAAAAAATTATGGTGTTTTTGAAAATTTTTGATATAAAAGAATGTTTAATTTGAACTTTGACCTTTAATAACTCTTGTAGTTGTATCCCAAAAAAAAATATGCCGCTAAGCTCACCTCAGTGATCTCTATCAATCCCCATATACATTTTTTTTATTTTAGAATTGCAACTGCCGGTTTCACCAGCAATTTAAACGGAAAATGATTTCTAATTTCTGTCAGTCAATTTCTATTAAAAATTAAAAAAAAATATATATATGATTTTTAACTTATAGTTCAATTATGTATCGGTTACTGACAAATTTAAACTTATTCATATATTTCTCTGTAATAAAAACTGTGACAAGAATTTGTCAGTGATACTGAATAGAGCGGTTAAATTGCTTTCGTGAAATTGGCTGTTAGTATTCTGCATTTACGCCAAGACAGTTACAACAAAAACCTTTTTACTGGTATACTGTGGCGCAGGTTTCGCCATGCAGGTACTGTAAAGAAGAGACAAGCTCTATACTTTAAATTCAATGGAAAGTTAAAATGCATTTAAAAGATATGGTTTCTAAAGCTCATATTTTTAAAGAAAATACCATACTGAGAAATTGTTCGTAATGTATAGTAATAACCCCATCCATGTCTGTATCGTGTTGCCTGAAAGCCGATGTTAGGGTCTGAAATTTACAACCAAAACTTAGAAGGAAAATTTTACAGGATAAATGGGTGGGGTTTAGTAGCGCTCACAACTATTTCGGGCTATTCCGTCCAGAGGGGTCGCCCGATCCAAAAAAAAAATTCCACACACTTATAGTCAAGGGTCTACGCATTATTTTAACACTCTTTTGTAAATTTTGGTCACTAATTTATTTACAATTTGGGTTTGAAATATGCCCTTTTTTGTAAAATTCGGAAATTAGCGTACATTTATCACTCCTATACTCCTTAAAGCAGCCACTTCACCAATACATTTCTGTATTCCCCTTCACTTTACACTTCAATCGATTAGTTATAACTTGCTTTACGACTTTAATAATTACCAATTAATCACAATTCTTTTAAGAAAAACACCTTCAAAAGCACGCGTCTGACTTTGGTTGCATATGCAAATTAAATGGCGGAGTTCAGCTGTCAATCTCCGAAATATGCAAAAGAATCATGGAGTAATAATAGGTTCTTTCCCGTACGCAAAATAGCCCAGAAATCATTCCCGTACTCAACAAAATGGATAGTAGAGACCGAAAATTTGAACGTATTGGATCGTAAGTGTCTTCTTCTTCCTGCCCGAAACAGCCCGGACTTTTTCTCCGGTTAACAGGCTAACCTAATATTCGCGGCTTGCGTTTTGGTACGCACGCCGTCGAATTTGTTTTTTGCGTCACCCGAAATTGGCTTGCGTGCGTTTGCATTTGATTTCATTGAGCGAAACGTCAAATCAAAATGTCACGCAGAACAAAAATTGGAAACTGAGTTAGCTTCATACGCACACCGTTCAATTTCGGTTGGTCCCATACAAGTTGTATGTGCATGAGTAATTTTTGACAGTAAATTGGCGGCGTGAGTGAATATTAGGTTAGCCTGTAAAATGGATAAAGCGTCAAAGTGCATATCAGCTGTTTTGANTAGCTTCATACGCACACCGTTCAATTTCGGTTGGTCCCATACAAGTTGTATGTGCATGAGAAATTTTTGACAGTAAATTGGCGGCGTGCGTGAATATTAGGTTAGCCTGTAAAATGGATAAAGCGTCAAAGTGCATATCAGCTGTTTTGAGTTTACATGTTGCCTGCATTTACTTGGGGCTTTTAAGGAATAGTGAATGCATTTTCAATCTTTATATTCTTAAAATCAAATTTGTGAAACAAAAATTCAATTTTCAAGAGTTTGCATTTAAGTGACAAAAACAAACATACCGCGAATAAGCTGTTTCTNAGCGTCAAAGTGCATATCAGCTGTTTTGAGTTTACATGTTGCCTGCATTTACTTGGGGCTTTTAAGGAATAGTGAATGCATTTTCAATCTTTATATTCTTAAAATCAAATTTGTGAAACAAAAATTCAATTTTCAAGAGTTTGCATTTAAGTGACAAAAACAAAAACAAACGCGAATCAACTGTTTCTTAAATTCTGGGCACGAAATGTGGTTTTTTGCGTTCCCGTACTTCTGGATTATGTTCCATTTTTGAGAGCAAACTTTTCGCTTTCTCAAGAAAACGATCAAGAAAAAATTGACATTATTTCGTGTGTGTGTCCAAGGAATTTTGACATTTTTGATACTTCACAGCCTGTTGCCTCACTCTTTCCTCAAGAAATAATGGAACGGGCATATATTTCTGTTGCAAACGTGGGTTGCCTTGTGCTCTTTTTTTTCAAAAACCTTTAGAAAATCGTAATAGAAAGCGTAGTAAATTTCTTAAGAACTGCGTACTGCCTTAAGGAAATTTGACTAAAGAAAATTCCTTAGCCATTTCTTGTGCGTCATTTTATATGGAGTTTTTGCTTTTCTTGAGAGCTGCATACAGGCCTTTATTCTCTAATTACCGGATCCGACCCGGATTGTTAGGGAAAGAACCTAATAACAAGGTGTTGTCAGTAACTTAACCTCACTTTTTCGGCAGGTCTATTCCGGTCACGCATTTTAAAGTATTAGAAAAGATGCTAATTATTTACTACTTTTAATCCGTTTGTGCATACTATTTCAAATTAAATGTAGAAAAATGTATAATTACAGGCTTATAAGCCTGAATATATGTTTGTATCGTCAGCTCCACACAGCTTGGACATATATTGTAACTTATAAAAAAAGGAAAGGCCGCAAAATAAAGCAATTTCCTATAAGGCTGTAAATAGTTTTTGAAATAGATTAAAACACATAAATATCTAATAAAAGCGAAATCGTAATTTAACCAAACTGCCGCTCTATTCTAGTGTATCAGTAGTCCATCTGGCTAGATATTATGACACGAGTGTACGTCTTTTTCCATTGATCACCACGATATCTGTTATATTTTATATTTTGAGGACACAAATTATACAAACCCAGCNTGCCTCACTCTTTCCTCAAGAAATAATGGAACGGGCATATATTTCTGTTGCAAACGTGGGTTGCCTTGTGCTCTTTTTTTTCAAAAACCTTTAGAAAATCGTAATAGAAAGCGTAGTAAATTTCTTAAGAACTGCGTACTGCCTTAAGGAAATTTGACTAAAGAAAATTCCTTAGCCATTTCTTGTGCGTCATTTTATATGGAGTTTTTGCTTTTCTTGAGAGCTGCATACAGGCCTTTATTCTCTAATTACCGGATCCGACCCGGATTGTTAGGGAAAGAACCTAATAACAAGGTGTTGTCAGTAACTTAACCTCACTTTTTCGGCAGGTCTATTCCGGTCACGCATTTTAAAGTATTAGAAAAGATGCTAATTATTTACTACTTTTAATCCGTTTGTGCATACTATTTCAAATTAAATGTAGAAAAATGTATAATTACAGGCTTATAAGCCTGAATATATGTTTGTATCGTCAGCTCCACACAGCTTGGACATATATTGTAACTTATAAAAAAAGGAAAGGCCGCAAAATAAAGCAATTTCCTATAAGGCTGTAAATAGTTTTTGAAATAGATTAAAACACATAAATATCTAATAAAAGCGAAATCGTAATTTAACCAAACTGCCGCTCTATTCTAGTGTATCAGTAGTCCATCTGGCTAGATATTATGACACGAGTGTACGTCTTTTTCCATTGATCACCACGATATCTGTTATATTTTATATTTTGAGGACACAAATTATACAAACCCAGCATTTTAAATATTAATATCGTTCTGAAAACACCAAGTTCTTTAAAAATCGCGTTAAAACGAAATACTAAAATTGAGTATTTTAGATAGTATTTCCCAACGAATAGTAGTATAAAAATTAAGATCGGCAGCACTGAAAATAAGCATGCCGATCTTGCCAAAATTACAACAAACACGTCGATAATGACAACACCTTGTTATTATTTCACCATGCAAAAGAATATTCGCGTTCATAAGTCGTAGTTGTTGGGTAACCGTTGGCTGTTTGTCTTAGAAACGCACAGTTGAGTAGTTACGCTCAGCCCAACAGTTGGCAACTTTCCGCCATTTTTTCCACCCGAAAATGTTTACGCTACCTGAACTCAACGTGTTGGGCTTAGCCTAAACAACTGATCGAAAATACTTACGCCGCGTTGTTAGGGGGCAGCTGCAAATAAATGTATTCTATTTTATATTACTGATATGATAAAGTAACTAAAATATTTTATAATAATACTACGTTTCTAAATATATGTTTTTAAGATGTTTGCTATATAATTTTACACTGTTTAATTCATTGTAACATTGAACGATTTTTTCAACACGGCCGCCGCTCAGCGTTGAAATCTAAATAGTATCGCCGCAAATATCTCTATTTGTTGCAATTTCATTTGTTTACATTTATCAGCTGTATATTTGGCAGCATATTCATCAAGCCGTTTCTAAGACGTAATTGTTGGGTTCAACAGTAGCCAGCAGTTCCGTAGCAGATGAGCTAAACAGCTTCGTCTTATGAACGCGACCAATGAGACAAAAGAAGGTAGGATATAACCCAATAAGCAATAAAAATACACAAAGGTGTTCTCTGCAAAAGGTGTTCAGCTCCTTTTCTTCGAAAAACAGACAGGAGAATTCTACTGCCTGAAAGTTATAATCCCTAAGTGCGGCCGAAGGCCGCCTACGCAGAAACGTGTTCTCTGCAAAAGGTGTTCAGCCCCCCTTCTTTGGCAACACAGAAAGGAGAATTCTACTGCCTGAGGGCTATAATCCCTAAGTGCGGCCGAAGGCCGCCTACGCAGAAAGGAATTCTACGCAAAAATACATTTGTTAAAAATACACTTTTTTTATAAAAACTTGTTTTTTTCTATTTTTATATAACTTTTTTATTCTTTGAGCGTGTATGAATCGGTAACAAAGTTCGCGGCGAGTAAATTTTTGAAAACTATGAGGTGAAAAAAATTTCAGTAGCTCATGAGGCTAGTGAAATTTTTGACAAATGCATGAAAAATTTTGACAATCGCATAGATTGTTGATGTGTGTAATTTTTCGTTAAATAAAAGTTTAAGCTGATGAATTGCAAACAACTATGGTAGATGTTTTCTTAAAATATTAATTTCACTTCAATTTGGAATATTTTATTCTGCATAAATCTGCGGTTATCATTGGATTGGCAAAATTGTCTCACCATAGTAAAAATATTATTCAACAGCTTTCCCCATAGAACTTTGTTACCGATTCACACACGCCCTTTATTCAAAATCGCCCGATATCTAATTTGGCATAATTTCTTTTATTAAAAAATCCCACGGTTTCTGTTAGTTGGGTCATATTCCACTTCAAACTGCTGTTTGCCAAAGAAAATTCCGTTTTTCCCTTTTCCAAACGGCTCGCTAGGGGCCTGCGGGAAGAGCTCAATGGGGGTACGCCTTTTTACAAAGCGGGGACTGTCCCCTTTCTAGTGGGGAGGGTTTGGCGGCCCCGCCCCCTCCCCCTCCGCAACCACCCAAAAACGATGTGAGCGCTACTAAACATTTCCCGGATAAATTACTCACATATAGAACTATGCAACATTGTATAAAGTCGTCGAAAAGTATAGTTCTCCTTCCGAACCGGTCGAATTTACGAATCAAAGTGTCTACCAGATTATCTGACAACCGATATCCAAACGAAGACAATGCTGTTTTTAATTCCTCTTGGTCAATATTTCCGGAATTGTCCCGGTCGAAAGAACGAAAGCAATCCTGCCAATCAGTAACATATTTCCATAGAGCTCCAAAATCTTGAAATGAAACCGTTCCACGATTTTCACGATCAAACATACCAATCATTAAACGTACTGTTTCTGGATTGAATGGGCTCCAAGTACCATTCGAGAGAGCTATTTGTAACTCGTCTGCCGATATATGTCCACTTCGATCTTTGTCGACTCTGAAAGCAGTGTCGGCAAGCAAATACATATTTAATTTGTGATTATATCTTACTTTTGAAAAACGTCCCACAAAAATTGTTGACCAGGCATTGATGATTGAGAACTATAAGCCATTCTAAATATTTAAAACTATCAAAAATGAACCACGATGACTAATTTTCATTTATATTAGAAATGTCATAAACATATCGTTTTAATTGTGAATGGTCGTTTTCACACTGGAACAATTCTCATAACGAAAGACACCATGAACCAAAAATACAAGATCACGTAAGAACGCGACGTTGTATTTGTAACTGGTTTTGAGAAAAAAGTTTGCGAAAGCGGGTTCGTCAGCTGAGCGTTTGTTTACATCACAAGCACCACTATTTTACACTTTTATTCAAGTAAAGAAGAGTTAATTCAACATGACAACACATTTTAAAGCATTTTGTTGCATCATTTTACCTAAATTGTGCGTTTAAAGTGGCTGACAATAGTTTTGGCTAATTTTGGTTTTTGTTGTTTTCATTGCTTTGTTTACTTTTCGCTCGTTTTCCAGTAAAACAAGATGGCGTAGAACCCGCTAAAATAATCGACTTTTTTCACTCTCTTGTTCTTACGTGATCTTGTGTCTTTCGTTCATGGAATGCTTTAAAATGTGTTGTCATGTTGAATTAACTTTTCTTTACTTGAATAAAAGTGTAAAATAGTGGTGCTTGTGATGTAAACAAACGCTCAGCTGACGAACCCGCTTTCCCAAACTTTTTTCTCAAAACCAGTTACAAATACAACGTCGCGTTCTACGTGATCTTGTATTTTTGGTTCATGACAATTCTGCCAAGGCGTATTAATATAAGGTGTAGCAGGAGTACAAAAACAAAAATTTACATGTATTTTGTTTTTGCTTTGGCGGCATAAACTGTCAAAATCTGTAAGAGTGTGTGTAGAAATTCAAACAAAATTTTTCAATTTGGTATCAGAAGCCGTGCCGCGAAACACATACACAAAATCAGCTGAGCTAGTAACACCACCTTATATTAATTCGCCTTAAATTCTGCCCAGAGGGCATCTCTTGGGGAATTCACAGTTCGTTCCATGAACGAAAGACACAAGATCACGTAAGAACAAGAGAGTGAAAAAAGTCGATTTTTTTAGCGGGTTCTACGCCATCTTGTTTCACTGGAAAACGAGCGAAAAGTAAACAAAGCAAAGAAAACAACGAAAACCAAAATTAGCCAAAGTTATTGTCAGCCATTTTAAACGCACAATTTAGGTAAAATGATGCAACAAAATGCTTTAAAATGTGTTGTCATGTTTAATTAACTCTTCTTTACTTGAATAAAAGTGTAAAATAGTTGTGCTTGTGATGTAAACAAACGCTCAGCTGACGAACCCGCTTTCGCAAACTTTTTTCTTAAAACCAGTTAAAAGTACAACGTCGCGTTCTTACGTGATCTTGTATTTTTGGTTCATGAGTTCGTTCCACATTCCTCACGATATTCACGGTTAGACGTCACTTGACTTAAGGCCTGTATGCAGCTCCCAAGAAAAGCAAAAACTCCATATCAAATGACGTACAAGAAATGGGTAAGAAAATTTCTTGAGTCAAATTTCCTTAATTAGGTGTATGCAGCTTTCAAGAAAACGGTCAAGAGAAAATTGCCATTATTTCGTGTGTGCCGAAGGAATTTTGACATTTTCGATACTTCACAGCCTGTTGCCTCACTCTTTCCACGAAAAATAATGGAACAGGCATATATCTCTTTTGCAAACATGGGTTGCCTGGTGTTCTTTTTTCACAAAAAACTTTAGAAAAGTGTAGTAGAAAGCGTAGCAAATTCCTCAGGAACTGCGTACTGGCTTATGCCCTGTATGCAGCTCTCAGAAAACGGTCAAGAAAAATTTGCATTATTTCGTGGGTGTGTCCAAGGAATTTTGAATTTTGATACTTCACAGCCTGTTGCCTCACTCTTTCCTCAAGAAATAATGGAACGGGCATATATTTCTGTTGCAAAC